ATTCCACACTGACGTGTTAAGGTAGGTAAAAATGATGTTGAAGGTGTGGCAAATAAATGCGTTGTAAATGGAAGAAAATGCTTTGAAATCTCGAGAACTCCCGTGACTTCTTCGAATGTATATGTGCTATAGCAAATAAATAATCTAGCCATTAAAATCAAAAGGGAAAAGTAAAAACACCAGCCATTCTATGTCCAACAAAGTAATGAGTATATACACGCTTACTTTGCTTAATCACATCACATATGTACCTCCCCTGAATCATTGGCCGTAAGAGTTATTAATAACAAAAGGAAGTATTTCAACTGCAAATAATAACGTATGAATTCTCTAAAATTACATTAGAAACTTGCATATTAATCGTGGGCCCTTTGTCACCGGAAGCCGCAAACATAGGTCGCCTGGACCCTGCGAAATAATCTGGAAAATTCCGAAATGGCTGAGGGGTTGGCAGGATGATAGAATGCCTTGTATGAGCCAATTCGACCGTTATAACACTGTTTACAAAGTGTCCGGTGCGTAGAAACGTAATAATACGTAATTCGAGTTTCCAAGTGGATAGTTATGTTTGACACCTACGCAATTATTATCATTTGAGATTATCAAATATTATCAAGAAAGCGTCAGCTCTTGTTATCGTTTCTTTAATGTGACAAGGGAAACAAGGTAATTGATTTTATTATTTAATCAATGTTGAAGAAAATAAACAACGACATTCACAAATCACATTTTTGAAGTTATACTTCTTTAGGCGCGTTGTGAAAAAATGATGAGAGTGAAATTTTTAGATGCGCGCGCATCACTGTAACCCAAAAGTAACAGCATGAAGTTGGCCGCGGGCGCGTTATGAATGTTAGTTAGATTATTAACCACTTAGTGGTTAATAATCCACCATTATTAGACATCTGTTCGAAAGGTACTTTGAACGATCCACGGAGCTCCATAAGATGATCGCGTTGTCAAAAACAATGTTGGCACGCTCGTCGCCTCTGATCACTGTTTTCATATTTATAATATTTATCCACATGTTTCTAGTTTCTATATAGACACAACGTGTTTTAGTTACTTACAAGTGCTTATTACATATGGACTAATAACTTAAATTCAGTAGTGATTTTAATTGAATATTTTGAATATTTATTTAATTTTTCAAATTAAAAACTGAACTTAATTGACTGTGTTAACTATCCTTTTCCAGTCCTTTTATTATTTTATTGTAATTATTAATTATTTGCATGCAATTAAAAAATATTTTTAATGATGCTAAAGAAGTATAACTTCTCACCCGTGTACATAAGTTACACGCATCCATTTTTTTTTATGTTATAAGAGCCATACGAGCCGACGTCTCACCTAATGGTAGGTGATCACCGTCGCCCATGGACACTTGCAACATCAGGAGTATCACAAATGCGATGCCGGCCTTTAAGGAAGGAGTACGCTCTTTTTTTTCACTACACTGCCGGCGACAATATATTCCCACAGTTTTGTCGTACGTGGTAAAAAAATTCGACAAAAACGCACGGTTGTGGATTGTCACGCATCAAGATGATAGGGATGAAATTTTTGTCGCGATGTACGATGGCGAAATGCAGCAGCTGAAACTAATCCGAGCAATTCCTCAGAACACTCCGCGTGATAAATATAAGTATATATATATATATATATATATATATATATACACACATCAAAAGTATCTAGGGATCAAGCATTTTTATGCGGATTTCTTGAGATTGAGATGTGGCTTTGTAATAAATTTATGATTTTATAAATTTATATGGATCCTTTTTGGTGCATTTCATAATTTGAATCAGGAACTGTGAATCAAATTCGAGTAAAAGATGAAAATCAGCTGTCAATATTTTCCCTATAAAAACATACAACGCATTGAAGACATTATTAGTGCTACTGTTTCCCTACTACTGATTAAAACCAACGTTATTATGGAGCGGCGACGTCATTTAAGCAGGGAAGAAATGCTCAGAGCCGTGGGAATGATAGAAGCTGGTTCCCGGCAACGTACTGTGGCTTTAGCTCTGAATACAAGTCAGAGTGTTATCAGTCGACTTTGGACACGATACCGAAGCACTGGTACCGTGGCTGAGCGCCATGGAGGACGGTATCGCTGCACCACACGGAGACAAGACCGATACATTCAAATCTTAACTCGAAGAGCTCCAACAATAACCGCCATGATGTTAGCCGTGAGGCTTCATCACTCTTCAGGGAACTTAATTAGCGACCAAACAGTCAGAAACCGCTTGCATGAAGTGAACCTTCATTCCCGAAGACCGCTACGGGTACCACCTATAGCAATGCACAATCGTAGGATTCGATATCAATGGGCTCTTGAACACAGAAATTGGGCAGAAGAACAATGGCGTTTCGTGTGCTTTTCTGATGAGTCTCGTTTTGGTATGAGACCGGATACAAGACGTATACGACACTGGAGAACCCCTGGACGCCAACAGCGATTAAAATCCTGCCAGGAAGTCCATCCTTATAGTGGTGGAACCATCATGGTATGGGCGGGTATTTGGATCGGCGGAAGAACTGAGTTGATTTGGATCAGAGGCAACCTCAACGCTCAAATTTATGCTGAGACGATTGTATCAGACGTCATCGTTCCTCTACAAGTGCAAATCGGTCCCTTATTTCAGTTAATGCATGATAATGCACGATCGCACACCGCAAGAGTTGTAAGACAGACTCTCGCCGCAGCTAACATCAATGTCCTGCCCTGGCCTGCTCAGTCGCCAGACTTGAACCCGATTGAGCATGCATGGGATATGCTACAGAGAAGAGCTCTGCCGAATATGGAGGGTATCCAGTCGCAAGAAGACCTTTTTTTGTTGTTGCAACGAACATGGGCGGCCATTCCACAGCGTGATTTGGATGAACTCATTTTGAGTATGCCAAACCGATGTTCTTGTGTTGTTAGTGTTCGCGGTAGAAATACGGATTATTAATTGTTTAAGTTACCCAATAAAATTTTAGAGAAAACTGTTATTTCAGTCTTTTTTTCGAACTTTTGTGTTAGTGGTTCAAATGTCAAAAATCCCTTTATTAGGAAAATGGCAAATTTCTTTATTAATGCAAAGGTGACTTGGTTTATCGTTACTGTGACAAACGAAAACACTTTATTTGATGAATCCTTAAAGAAAATTTTAATTAATATCAATCAGGAGAAAAGTTATTGCAAAAATATATGTTGATCCCTAGACACTTTTGATGTGTGTATTATATTTATATATAAATGCGATATAAGATGCAGAGATGTCAATACAATGATTCATGCATCCATACTTACATGTCGATCCATTCTAATATTATAAATGCGAAGTTATATCTGTCTTTCTGCCCGTCTGTTACCTCTTCACGCTTAAACCGTTGAACCGATGTAGACAAAATTTGGAGAGAAAAATTATCAACACAAATTTACAAACGCAAAAACATTACCTCATTATAATATTAATAAAAATAAATAGAAAATCCCGATGGAAGAATTTTAAAACCAACCTTTTATCCGTAATATGATCAGATAATAATACGCTTTTTTATTATGAATTAAAGAAATTATCGAGATTGCAAAAAAAAAACCGCTCAAACGGAAACCAGAAAGTGGGTCTTTAACTTGCAAGATTTGATAAATGACAGATGGACACCGGAACGGATAAAGCTAAATAACCACCTGATGTTAAATAGTAGTAGTAGAGTCAACATCAGCAATGCCGGTGACATACATAGTCATGTCTCATGCCACTGCCTTTCGTGAAACACTCACGAGAAGAAGAGGACCATATTATAGCAATTAAGGAACACTATGGGATAATTATTTCATAACTTTATATTTCAAATATATACTATTTATATATATTAATTTTTTATATTTGAAAAACAGAAGCTCTGGAAACTCCGGTGTGGGTGATAAAATGATGCTGTGACCTCGGACGATTTCTCAGAGCACTTGTCATGGAACAGTCATCAATGCTATCACTGTCTCTGCGCAGCTGTAAAGACTTCAGGTATGTCGTTAGTTGCTTTATTATCGTTACTGCGCTAACTATAATCCGTACGCATTACAGATAAAGAAAATAAACTACATAAACGTGGAGGACCAAAAGTAGTTTCAATATAAAGATCGCCATGGCTTATCAACGAGCATACTTAATTGCTTGGTTACTATAATTGTGTTTTCATTATTCGCTATGAATTAATGAGTAGTAGTCCATTTGAGAAATTGTAGACAAACATTAATTCCCATAATGGATTAAATTTGAAGCTTCCCAAAATTCAATTGCTTTTACAACCCCTAAATAAATGTACATAATATTTACAGTTTGTTTCATGCGCCAAACATGGATCATCCACCCGCGTTAAAGTTAAATTCTTTTGTGAAACCAGAAATCTACACAGTGTCGAGAAAACTTATGTTTTATTACGTAACTGTTCAAACAGTATTGTCGTTGAATTTCGGCTTTGTTACTTTAAAGTTCCCAAAATTTAAATCCTTACTGTTAATAATATGTCTGTTTCAAACTTCAAGTATTATATTCTCGATAGTTTATCTTTACTTAATTTATATCGACGACAAGGTTATGCGTTATTGGTATTTTTTATACCTACTAAAGTACTGGACACTTTCCGTAGGCACTCATTTATTCTACAAGAAATCTTTTTTTGAGTTTTGGAATGTTCTACGATCCATTAATATAGAATTAGGGAATCTCGAAAAATTCTATAAATTGGAACACATTATTATATCATTAACCATTTTAAACATATCGTATAGGTGTGCTACTTCGCTTGTGTACTGCACTCTATTTGAGGACTATTGCATTTCTTCTTTATTAGTGTTAATTTTATTCCAAATACCTCTTAATTCTGTTGATATTTTTCTTATTACATACTTCATGATTTTTTACTCTATTTATTGTTGTATGGTTATTTTTGTGGACATTGTAAGCAATGATAGAATCAGTATTTTTAATGCACATTACATGTATAAAACTATTGCAGACACCATCGAAGACGGAAAATGTAATTTCGACTACCTGGTAGGGCACTAATTGAGTCAAAACAATATATGATAATAATTTTCTATGGATTTATTCAAGGTTACCTTTTTTCAGTACCTTATCCCGTTAATATTCCATACTGTCGATATATTGGTAACAGTTTTCATTCCAGTAGTATACCGCGATTCGAATACGGTAAGTGCAAAATGGATAATATTTGAATTTAAAACCCAATTACAATTAACTTAATGAGGAAAGATATATTCCAATATTCCAACAACATCTTAAAAGTCCTCCTAAACTAAAGAGAAATAGCTCTTTTTGCATAGCTGATATCAATTCAATTTCTAAATTAATCAAAAATATTTTGGATAACTATTTTTCTCGCAGTACTCTAAAATGGAATTCCTTGATCATAATCGTATATTCTTAAATCCAAACGTAACATAAAGACATATCCTACAAGTTCACAAAGCGAGGATGGCTTAACGGTATAAGATTTAATATTTATATTTCTTGCCACATCTCAAGCCTTAAGATCAGTTTCTTCTATGTCGCTAGGGTGACAAACCAACGACCAACCAACAGCTTACTATCTGCGGTACGCCAGATAGTAATCCGTTACCATAGCCATATATATGCTTACAACTAAGTTGACCAAATGAAAGATAGGCCTGAGATCTTCGCAATATAAAGCAGGCTAAAAAGACTATATGACTACATAACCCTCGAGTTTCAATTATCTACATAAATTATTCCTACTAATCAAGCTTTGCACCGCAATACATTTTCAGTTCAATACCCTTCAGATCACTGTATCCAATGTGTCATTGCTGCAAGTGCTGGTACTATTGTTTTCTCCTGCCTTCGCTGCTGGCCTGCTAAAGAAACAAGCAACGAAACTGAGTCTGGTGTTGCATGATAAACTCCTCACAGGGAAAGGTACAGTATTCTTTGTTGATGAACTAAACATCAAACTTACGATAACGTCCTAATACCGTATAGAGTAATTTTCTCCTGTTCGTTCTTTGATAGAACTGAATATAACACTTTGCTCTAGTATCGGCCTTAATAGTTACGGCGCGGAACCCCATGACTAGTAATATGTGATCTGTTTTAAGCATTCAGGGGTCATAAAATGAGCTGATGATGTAAGCTGTAGAGCTGCGAAAATAGCTAGCTATAGACATCGTGAGCTTACCGAACTCATCCCAATCCCCTTCCCTGGGAAGCCCTGGAAATCTTACTTCAGAAACTTAACAGCACCACAAATCAGTATAATGTTAACCAGGTTTTCTATAAAATGACGATTAATTCCTGTAACCGTTTTCTAGGTTCAGTCAATCAACTAGTCATATTCTTTCACAGATAATAGGCAATCGAGAGAAATCAAGAAATTCATCCGATACATTGAGGCTCGCCCGTTGAAATTCACCATCTGCGAAGTCATACCACTCGACTGGAAACTGCCTGTCATCATCTTGAACCTCTGTATCACCTACCTGATCGTTATGTTACAATTAAGTCATATTTATTAAAGTTTCCATAGAAAGACTTACATATTATTTTATAGATTTATAGAAGTACTTTGTCAGAGTTGTTGCGCTTACTTACGTACTGCACGTATTTTAAAAAAGCAGGCATCTAAATAATTTGTATCTTTCAGTTTAATTACTCAAGTTCTTTACACATATTATTATTGTTCTTTAATGCTCAAATCAATTCTTAAAGTAACGAAAATACGACACGAGAAAACATTTACTTTCTTATGGTACCATGCTCAATTCCAATCAAGCTTCAATGAACGCGTTAATATTTATTTCTATAAAAACATTTTCTCATGTATTTTTTTTTAAGAATTTAACTGCAAGATGTTTAAATCTAAAGAAAAGTCCCGTCTGCTGTCTGCATTTTTTCTTAGTAAATTTTATTTTTAGATTTTCTAATGAGTTAAACATGTAATAGTTAAAACCTGAATTAAGTGAAGCCTTTATAGATTAAATGAAGTTGAGAGTAAATTAAAAAATTCAAATCTTTAGAACTTAAAGCTTCTCAAAAGAAATTGCTTATTCTGAAATAAAAAACATACCCCTACATATTATAAAACCGGCAAAGTGAGTGTCGAGCCACGCGCGGTGTTGGGTTCCATAGTTGCCTGTCGTTAGCACATTTTGTGATAAAATCTCTTTGGCTATACCATTTGTATCTGGCTGGTTTTGGTATGGTTAAAATGTTTTAATTTTAAAGAAGATAATTCCAAAATCTAATCAGAAAAATGAGTGATTTTCATTTGTTTTTCTTACTGTCAAGATGAGTGAATCTAATCAATACATTTTAAAAGTTTACTACAAAAAAAAGGTAAAAATGCAACGCAAGCCGCGAATTTTTTTTCATGATGTTTATGGACCCAGTGCAGTGTCTCGTGAGTGTAGCAAATTTGATTTAAGCGTTTTTAATCCGGAAATTTTGATGTCAAAGGTGAACGTAACTCTGGTCGCCTTGTTACGGATAAAATGCATGCCATTTTTGAAAAACAGGGAAGCTGAAGAACTGGGAATTGACCACAAAACAGTTTTGGCGCATTTGAAAAAAGTTGGGTACACAAAATAGCTCGATATTTGGGTGCCTCCCGAGCTCACTGAAATACCCTAGTGAACCGTGTGATCATTTGTGATTCTTTATTATGGTGTAATGAAACGGAACCATTTTTGAAAAAGCTGATAACTGGTGATGAACAATGGATTTTACATAAACTTTTGTTAGATTTAGGGACTAAAGAAATATAAATATGCATTGCTATGCTCTTGCCACCTCATACTCGAGGAAAAACAAAAGAGGTGGAGCCTGTGGTTTGTTAAATAAATATTTCCAACACTTACACCAATTAGCCTAGCCCCAAAGTAAGCACTGTAATAAGGCTTGTTATATGGGATGCTAGGGTAACGGATATAATACATATACTGTACATATATAAGTATATTTATATAGAAATAAATATTTTATATTACACAAACAGTTGCCCCCACCGGGATTCGAACCCGGGACCTCTCGAGTCGGCGAAACCATGAAACCAAGCGTACAAACCACTCTGCCACGGAGGTCGTCTAAAATAGTTACAAATACAAAAAATGTAATGAATATTAAAAATAAAGTTAGAGCTACCTAGAGTGTCTGGACTTAATACTGCAAATTTATTAAATAGTATACAACGGCATCGAAACCACTAGTGCACAAAATATTGCTTCTGTCATGAATAATTACTTCACTGACATATCAAGCCCAAGCATAAATGTTAAAAAGAGTGCTGTATGATATTTGTTGTAGAACATATTTTAAGGACCTAAATATTTTTACGTTGACTTCTTTGTACATTCTAGAAAAACAACTTTTGTAAAGCAGTACCATTTGTATTCAGTCGCAAAAGATATAACAGATCGAAGTCTAAGGTGTCCTAATAAAATGAAAATGGACACAGTTCCGAAAAAAAGGGATTCCAAAAAAAGGCACCGGCGATGGCAACTAAATTGCCAATTAGTTGCCATAATAATCTTAATTATAATCAAATTCCAAAAGAAATTTAAAATTAAACCAAATAAAATTCAGATAAATGAAAACACGTTTAACAGTTTGGTTGAGTTCATGAAATATGGTAAGAGTTGATGCACGGGTTAAGGACATGCTTAATGCGTTTAAATATTACATTTAATTTTGATTCTTTACAAAATCATTATAATTTTGACATTCACATAAATATTGACATGAATAAATTGACAATATTGAGTAACAATAATATTATAACACGAATTATTGACATTTATATAGGTAATTGACGACCTCCGTGGCCGAGTGGTTTGTACGCCGGGTTTCATGGTGTCGCCGACTCGAGAGGTCCTGGGTTCAAATCCCGGTGGGGGCAGATGTTTGTGTGATGAATACGAGCATTTGTACTCCAGTCATGGATGTTTAATATGTATTTTCTATATAAATATACTTATATATGTATTCTATCCGTTACCCTAGTATCCCATAACACAAGCCTTATAGTGCTTACTTTGGGGCTAGCCTAAATTGGTGTGAGTGTTGGAAATATTATTATCTCTTATCTATTAGACAAGTCCATCCGTCCGTCCGTCCGTGGTGCTATTTCAGCGGCCAAACCGTAAGAGATAGATATGGAGAATGTTTAAGTTATAAGTTAAGAATAGTCTGATAAGACTACAAACCGGATGTGAGTAACGTAGCACTTCCGGTTTTCGAGAAATCACGTGATTTCTATTTCAAACGAAACCACACAAAATCTCCGAAGTTCTCAATTAATTATTTTTTTTGTGAACATTTGGTTCACTGGTTTGCTAGTTATTATTATAATTGAATAGAAAAATTTACATGTTATCTTTTTTATGAGGTTAAGATACAATTTAGATGAAAAGTAACATTATTTATATCCCATTTAATGCAAATAAATTGAATTGAATTAATATTATTTTTTTTTAAATACAAATGATAACAGCCGTTTTATTTATTTTTTTGTTTCCTCTCAGGCGGGGTAGTGTGTATGAAATCCTCATGGATACCCTACAGCCGGCTGCAAGGTTATGTCAGACTCTTGATGACTCAAACATACCTGTAGTTCATGCTTAAGGCAGGAAGGGCCTTACAAGCTTCATCTGAAACGGCCATTCCCTGAGAAGGGGCAGATCACTCGCTAATCTTTTCAAGTGCATATAATATAGGTACTCTTTATAAAAACGTAACGTTAGCACGACTCAGAAGCCGTTACCGTTGGTACTCGCGATAACGTTGTGGAACTAATAATATTTAGTTTTTAATTTTTTTTTTTAGATTTTGTTGCAATGCAAGCTTTTACGCTACAGTAACTTTGTCTATGTCACTATTATTGTTTTCTTATAAGGAATTTTCAATGATTAAGAAATTGTCTTTAACCAAACTTGAACGACTATTACTCTTAAACTAATAAATCTATCCGAAACGGTATAATTTTTCTTAAAAGTTAATAAAAAGCACTTATATGAATTTCTTCAGGTTTTTCAAGCCAATAGTTTAGCTTCGATCAAAAATTAGCACTTTAAAGTTCAATATTTCGCAAACAGATCCCTATAGTGCCGACATAATCTTAAAATAGTTCAATTTTTCAATTATATCCCATAACAAAAAATAAAATATCTACCATTTTCTCGGCATGATTAATATACATATCTCTACAATACATACATAACGGTCCTTTTAAGAAAACAATACAGCTCTCTAGTACTAATAGTCTCCAAGCAAAACTGAGGACGGACAGACGAACGAAACGAAATTATAAGGGTTCCTTGTCAGGACTACGGAACCCTAAAATAAGGGTTTAAAAGCAGAGTAGTATATTTTATACAGTTAATAGGTTAATACAAACACAAATGTAAACAGAGGCAAGTCTAATCCATTTTAGGAGATTGATACGGGCAATAAAACATTTCCACTTTAGGAAAATGCTTAAGACTCCCGCTAACATTGGAGAAAGCTTTATGTGATAATGGAAAAATTTATACATACAGTTTATTTTCGTTAAGATCATAAAATGTGTTTATAAGAATTTTGTTAATGTTTCCCAACAATATTGCATTTAATTGAAATGATTGGTTAATTTATTTTATTCTTCAAATAAATACTTACTAGATATTCGAGTTGAATTGTGACTTCAAGTTGAGGTGCAACTCCAACTTACCTATACATTTTTAGGTTCTGTAGTCAAAATGGAACCACTTTAATTTTAACATACCTATCCGTCCATCAGACTTTCCGCATATAGTTGACATACTCTTTGTAGCAGAAAGCTGTAATTTAGTTTTAATATACAATAAGTCATATCGACAAAATGGTAACATAGAATATTGAAAAACAAACGACGGGTTGCACTCCGGGAGTGCCGGCAGAAGTGAAAACTTGAATATTAACGTTGTGCATTTTTGATATTTTGGAATGGTTAGGAATAATTTTGCACGAATTTCTTTAATTATCAGTATAAAATTACTATCATTTATGTGGTACAATACAATATTTATTTATTGCGCTATCGTACACAATTTATATTACATTAAAAAGTTTATCTCTCAGAATTTCTCATTTAAGCGTACCTAGCGACATCTATTGTAAAAAAAATCATTTTCTTCGCAATAAAGCTGCCACCTGGACGTCCTAGATACAGACTTATTATTATAATACGATAAAATAAAATATTACTATATTTCGTCCAATATATTGAAAGTCAACAAACTTACCAATTTTATTGTTTTCGTCTTACGATCAGGACACGTGGCCTGTGATGCGATCAGTCCACGTGTCATGACGCGCGTTTAACATTTTTTACCCATACAAAAAAAGTGTACAACGCCGCTAAAGAAGTTTTCACTTCAAAAGTGATTTGGGTACCTTCCCTGCCCGTGGAATGGTATTAGAGCACGTCAATTTTTTCTCATCTACTCCACGCTGTTGGTTATCGTTGTATAGATTTATTCAACAATAACCTTGAAAATATTAAAAGTTTG